GCGCGCCAAGCCCCGGCCTGAGGGGGCGGGGCCCAGGAGGTCCGAGGGGGCGGGGCCCAGGAGGTCCGTGGGCCCCGAGACCCCCGACAAATGCTTCCTGCACTCCGTCACCGAGTCCTCCCCGATTCCCCGGCTCGTCTGCCAAGGTCTCTGGCCCCTCCAGGTCCTTGCTAATGCTGGGTCCTCTGTAGGGATGCCGTTCCCTTTCCCGTGCGCCTGGCAAAACACTATCGAGAAGCCGTCGTCCTCCAGGCAGAGGATCGGGACCCCTGCCCTGCCCCACAAGGCGCCCTGTTCCTAGGATAGCTGTGTATGTGTGTGTGCGTACCTGTGTGTCTGTGTCAGTTCGAATATGGGTCTGTCCCCTTAGGGCTTCAGCTAAACTCAGTTGTAGTATTTTAACCTCTCTGTGCTGCAGCCGCACCCACGACACCTGAGATTATTTCCTAGCTTGCTCTGTGACCTTGGCAAGTCATTTAAGTGGGCCCCCACCACCCTCCTCTGAAAAGAGGGAATGGTAATATGTGTTTATTCCACTTCTATGCCTCACACTGTGCCCTGCGCAGAGCAGGAACCAAATGTTTGCTGGAGGACTATTACTGGAGGGCCATTTGTTTGTTTAGACATGTTTTGCCTTCTTTTTTGCTGTGGACACCCACTAATACTTTTCCACTAAAAAAATAAGGAAAGAAAGTCCCACTGGGTACTGACCACAGTGGCACGAGGTTTCCTCAGCACGGGTCAGCTTCCCCTTACCTGGTCTCCTGTGATGGTGGCACAGTAGGTCTGGCTGGGCACTGTTTCTCAGGCAGGCAAGCTGGCAGGCCATGCCGATCTCAGGGTGGTGGAGGCACAACTTCCTGTCCACTTCCTCCACTCTGGAGTCTCATAAGCTTCTGGCTCCAGTATCTTCAGTGAGTTGAGGTACCTCATGCCATTTAGATGAGCATGGTGTGCTTTGTGATTTACTCAACAACCATTCACCATCAAATGCTCATTGAGTACCCCTGGCTTCAGCATAGGTGTTCCATTGGTGGGCCAGGCAGACATTCTCTCACCCTGGAGCTGCCTGGAAGGCTTGTTAAACAGTCTGGGTTTCTGATTCAGATTTCTAGACCTGGGTGGGGCCTGATATTTTTGCATTTGTAACAAATCCCCAGGAGATGCTGAAGTGGCTGGTCCCAGGCCCCCAACTGTGAGAACCACTGCTCTAGAGGAAGGAAACAGACATCAAATAATCACATGAGGAAACAGACAACTATAAACAGTGATAAGTGCTACAGAGTAGTTCAAGGGTATGACATTTTAAGGTTGAGTGTGCAAGCAGTGATGGTGGGGGCTGGGGACCATCACAAGCAGAGGGAGCAGAGGGGTGAAGAAGCACATGGAGACTGAGGCTCTGGAGCTCAGACAGCAAGACAGACAGTTCTGAGATGAAGCTGGATCACACGTGGTCTGATTGGATACCTCTGTTCAAAGAGCGATGAAAAAAGACCATAAGTGATTCAGCCTCATTTTGAGACCATCTTGCTCTCTGAGCTCCAAGTTCTGTCTCACCAGGCTTCCATGCTCCTCAGTTTCCCTGTGCAAAGAGAAATGGGAGGCCACCAGAGGGTTTTGAACAGATCAGATCTGCGTTCTAGAACAGTGACTCTGGAGAAGGTGGGCAAAGTGGACGGAGAAGGAATAGATGGAAGCAAGTGGGGCAGCTGGAAAGATGCAGCAGTGGACCGGGTGAGGGTGATGGAGGCTTTTAGCTGCCTTGGGTGCTTTATCAGTCCATGTTCCATACAGAAAAGAGAAGTCATCCTACATATTTCAAACAGGGGACATTTGATACCGGAGACTGGGTACAAAAGTATTGGCCAAACAGAGGGGACTGCAAAGTTACCTAAGATTAGTATCAGTAGGAAGCTGCTAGCCCCTCTAGGACTTAAAGTCAAAAGGGAAAAGGTGTTACCCCAAAACCCACAACCACTGGGCCCTGAGCAGGAACCCAGATGCCCATCCTCACCAGCCACTGCTGTTTCTGCCATTGTTGCTAAAGTCACCGCTACTGTCTCCACTGCGTAAGATGGGGGGGAAAATGGCTTCTCCTCTCTGCCTGTCTTCTGATTTCCTTCTGACAGAAAAAAAAAGGGGAAACCAACAGACAAGGGTGTCTGGGAAACGTGTGCAGGCTTCCAGTCTCACTGTCAAGAGTCTACAGGGGCAATGACAACAGAGATGCTCCGGCATGGTTTTAACTGGAAACAGAGGCTCGATGGTGAGAGTCCCACCTGGCCAGCAGCACAGCCTGAAGTGCCCTGGGATTCCCTCTACTACTGTGGCTGCCACCCTGGGCAGGGATCACCCATCCTGGGGCCTCTTTCTCCAGAGTCTGGAGGTGCATGGCCCAATACAGTGGCCTCTCACCACATGTGGCTATGTAAGTTTAAATTAATTACAGTTAAATCAGATTAAAAATGTATTCTTCCATACAAGGTACAACACCAAGAGCAAACCCTAATGCAGAGTTTGGACTTTGGGTGATGATGTGTTAGTGTAGGTTGGTTATCGACCAGGGTTCTTGGACTCCTTAATCAATAGAAATTGATGAGACCAGATGAAAAATTCAGGCAAGGCTTCATGGGGACTCGTGCTGCAGCGTGAAGGAGTGACAACAAGTACCAAGTTTCCTTGCTCGCTCCCTGAGTGGGGGCCAGCTGGTCCTTTAAATGGGGTGAGGGTAGGGGCAGATAAATGGGTCAGGCCAGAGGGGTGGCTTAGGTGGTCAGCCCACCCCCTTGGTGGGGCTGTGTGCAGGGATCATGCACAGCAACATGCTTTTGCTCTGGGAAGTGGCAGTTGGTCTTTTTTCTTTCTTTTTTTTCAATGGCGGTACCCAGGACCTTGTGCATGAAAAGCATGCGCTCTACCACTGAACTTTACCCCCAGCCCCGCAGCTGGTCTTTCGTATCTTGATGTTCATAATTTGCCCCAATTGTACATGTATGCAGTTATTTTTAGTCCCTCATAGTTTCTTTGTATTCTGTTGCTCAAGGAGGCATTTGTCCAAGTGTGAGTACTGTAGCAAAGGGTCTCAGGTCCCAGGTCCCAGCCCGTCTCTGGTTCATCAATTGTGACAGATGTACTCCCATGGTGTGGGATGGCCTTGGTTGTGTGGGTGTGGGGGCAGGCAGTATATGGGAACACTCTACTCTCTGCTCAGTTTTGCTGTGAACCTAAAACTGCTCTAAAAGACAAAGCATACGAATTTTTTAAAAAATCAGTACCACCAGCCACATTTTAAGGGCTCACATGAGGCCAGTGGCTACCATATCAGCCAGCACTGATGAGGAAGGGTCTCCAGGACAATGCTGCTCTGGAGAAGAGTTCCACAGGGTCTGAGTTGGTCTGACCCATCTCTGTACAATTGTTTCTGGCATTTTCTCTCAAGGTGCAGCACTGCATCTCTCCTCATTAACTTCTCACCTTGTTTGGAGATTTAAAAGGTAGGCAGTGTTTGAATCCCACCCCTGCACTTCCAGGGACTGAGTCTTTAGCTTCTGAGACTGATAACCCCTGATAAACTGGGAAGACCGATGTGATCAAAAAGTCCAGGGTCCAAAGTCTGCCAATTTGACCAAAGCCAGAACAAAACTTGCCAGAATGTGACCTCCTGGCCAGACTTTTCACAATGATCATCTTTCAGTATGTGACCTATAGTTTCCCATATTATTTGGCTTTTTTTGTAACATCACTAAATTCCGAATTTCTGGTGTCCTAAATTTGATTTATTTCCAACACAAATTTCTGCATGAAAACAGATCTCTTCAAAACAAAAACCTGCTATGTGTAACTTAAAAAAAAAAGGCAAATCATTTGATAGAAAGAAAAAAATTAAACTGCAAAGTAAGCACTATTTTCACTTGAGAGAATGAATGCATTCCTCTGTCTTACAGAGAAGTAATGGCCGGGGAAGTGGGTCACAGAGTGGGGAAAAGAGCATGAGCTTCTTTATGAATTGTTAAACATCTGTGCACAAGGCCTGGGTTCTCCAGAATAACTAGCATGTAAGTGGAGCAGGCAAAACCTTTCCACGCCAACACTGCTGTATAAAGATTTCACACTGGAAAAGTTTCGCCTATGTTATCAGTAATTTACAACCCAAAGAAATAAGGCATTGTTTCTCCTTTTTCAAAGTGAGTTTTACCACCTTTTATTTACAGAACATTTTGAAGGTTAAGAAAAGAGCGTCACGTTTTTGACCAGACTCTCACCTCTGACTTCCGGCTTCCAGCACTCAGATTTGTCTAGAGGAGACATCTCGGGGCACAGGGAGGGGCTCAGGGAAAACCAGACCAACCCCACTGAGAGGCAAAGGCACACTTTTCAAAGAAAACTGGACAAATTACCATGTGTGGAGACATTTGAGCTTTTAAGTGTAGTTTAAAGTAGAAACAAAGTTTGGCCAGTCATCTTTATCTGAGGTGGGGATGACTACAGTTCATTCCTCCTGTGGAATCTATTGAAGTTTTTGTCTTGCCCACCAAACCTGCGCATCAGCATCTCCTCTTCGTCTTCCTCGCGGGCCTTCTTCACCTCTTCCTTGGCCTGTATGTCATCCATCTCTCTTTCCGGGCCCTGGAGAAAGAAACAAAGACCCCAGCGGCCAGGGATTATACTTCCTGGAGGCTAATTCAGTGTCAGCGTGCAGCCTGCCCCTACCTTCTGGAAGCTTCCACACCAGCTGGGGGCAGCCGAAAAAAGAGCCCCCAAGGATGTCAGGTCCCAATTCCTGGAACCTGGAAATGTAACCTTATACGCATGGGGAAAGGGTCTTGGCAGAGGTGATTAAATTCAGCCTGCTGAAATAAGGAGGTTATCCAGAATGGTCAGGTGGGCCCTAAATTCCATCACAATGTCCTCATAAGAGGAGGGCTGAGAGAGATTTGACACAGACACAGACAGAAGAGGAGAATGCAACATGAAGATGGAGGCAAAGATTAGAATGATGCAGCCACAGAGCAAGGAGCATCGGGAACCATCAGAAACTGCAAGAAGCAAAGAAAGATTCTCCCCTGGAATGTTTGGAGGGAGCAAGACCCTGCTGATGCCCTGATTTTGTAACAGAGAAGAACAATTCTGACTCCATATTAAATGTTCCTTTAGCTCT